ATATTATCGCGAACATATTCTGGTGGGTGTATTAAAGCCTTGGGGCACGCAAACATTTTGGCCGCAGACCTTGGACATTCCAACAGGACTCAGCACCATTGCACTCAGCGCCACTCGCCACCCAAGAATGGTTACAAAATGAGGTTCCTCGCTTCATTTCCAGCGCACAATGGCCACCAAAATTTCCGGATACCAATCCGTTGAACTATTGTGTCTGGAGTATTTTGGAAAGCAAGGTTAACACTAAAAAATACCAAAGTGTCGATCACCTCAAGCAAGCGCTTCGTCGGGAATGGGCCAAAATACCGCAGAGCAACATTAGGGGAGCGTGTGAGGGTTTTATTAGCCGTTTGAAGGCCATAATTCGTACCAAAGGTGACCAATTCGAACAAATCTAAACGTTTTCTAAAATTTGATGCTATTTCCGACATTTCCGACATTGCTTTACATTCAACATTTACATTCCGACATTCAATAAAATTTAAAAAAAATTAAAAAGTATGGCGTTAAACTTTTTTGCCGTTTTTTTTATCTTCATCAACATTTATAAAAAATTGATGCTATTTCCGACATTTTTTGCTTTCATTCAATAAAATTTGAAAAAAAAATTAAAAGTTATGGAGTTTGACTCTGTTGCAGTTTTTTTTTTTATATCACCCTGTATATCTAAAAAAAATAAAAGAAATTAAAATAAAAAAAATGATAATCATCAACATTTATACACTGTATTCTGGATATCTTTCAGTTTTTTCTTTTATTATCTCTTTATTTTATTGCGAAATTAAAAATAAAACAATAAAATGACAAATACTTTTACAAAATGTAATGGGGTTTTATTGTTTGTGGTTCTCTCTGTTTTTTCTGTTAGAAGTGATGTACAGACATGAACAAATATAGAGTTGTTGTGGTTGTTGTTTTTATTTTTGTAATATTTATTTGAATTTGATTTGTTTTAAATATTATTCCAACAAAAATGTATTGTATTTTTTTATGCATAGATGTATGTATATGTATGGTATATATATTATAGTATGTGTGTTTTTCTTTTTCATGTATGTATTTTAATAATAATTATCATAATAAATTCTAAGAACAATATCGATGATTATTACTTCAGTATTTTTTTTTTAATTTTATTTTTATTTTTATTTTATTTTTATTTTGTGTGATTGTTGATCTTTATACCTATGACAAATACTTTTGTGCTTAACTGTTAAATGTTACAATGAATTTGATTGATTAGCTTAAAAATGTAAAAAATTGATGTGTGGGGTTTTTGATGCTGCTTTCTCTTTGCGGTTGTATAGTTGGGTTTGTCAGTTGTGATAAAATTTTAAAAGGAGAAAAAAATATTTTTTTAATAACAAAATTAAAACAATAACTGGCCTAAATTGAAATAACTATAGACAATTGGGGGCTAGGGATTTTTATTTTGTTATTACTGGATTTTTTTGAAATAACTTGAATTTTCAACAATTTTCTTTGCATTATTATTAACAATTATTTTTCTTTTATAGAAATTTTGTCTAGTTTTTATTCAATAAAATTTACAAACAATTGAAGAAGAAAATATTAGACAAAATGGATTTTTTTTTCTGTGACCCTCCAGAAATTTTGTCCATGCAACACAAAATTTCGAAAAAAAAACAACACAAATGACTGAGGGGGAGATTAGAAAAATCTTACAAGAAGGATGATTATTTTCCTTTTCAAGAAAAAAAAAACTTTTTAAAAAGATTTGATCATTTTGTAATAGGAAAACCAAAATTCTCTTGAAAATTTCTCTTGAAAATCTCTTATTGATTTCATGACACATTGTTCTTGTGGAAGATCAAAGATACTTCTAAGAGAAGGCCAGGCGATGTGAACAAAAACACATACTCTTATATGCATCTACTCAATGTATACTCTCTTGTACAATGTCAGAGCTTCATTTGATTGGAGAGCACCAAAAGCTCTCTTTGTAGAGCAGTAGTACCTCTCACAGAATATCATGGATATGAATATATCAGCGCTGCCCAAGAAAAAACATCTCATTCCAGTCAAATTTCTCTTTGCTTCTTTAAATCAAGAACAAAACAGTGTTAAACAGTGTTGACTAAATAAATTATTATAAATTTTATTTTTTTATCTTAAATATAATTGTAAATAAAATATTAATTTTCTCTTAAATTATCTCTTTTTTCGGCTCATGTTCTAGAACACGGTTTTGAGCAGGGCTGATATAATGACTAAATGTTTGAGAGATATTTTGTTATTTGCTGAGAAAAACTTAGGTTGCCTTGAAAATATCTCTTTGAAAATAGCCTGTTTTCCTTGTCGAAGATGAAACAGAAAGTTTTCTTCTAGAGGATTCTTAAGTATTTATACCCATAAATGGAATGATCTTCTTTTAGCATATCAATCGATCCTCTCATCATTGAATAGCAGACAGACATCATTTTTGAGTTTTGATGATATAAATCAAGGGATCGACATGAACAATGATCAGCGCTGCCCAAGAAAAAATATATCTTTCCAGTCAAATTTCTCATTGCTTATTTCTAGAACACGGTTTTGAGCAGGGCTGCTTTCAATTTATTTTGAAAATATATTCTTCTAAAAGGCATCTAATTTTTCTATAGGGGGTTTGTTGATTTTTCTTCAGAGAAGATCGGTAAATTTCCTGGTGGAGAGTTACTAGATTTTAGTGTATCAATCAATCCCACAAATCATTAAAGGATCTCTTCCTAGAAAATCACTTAACCTTCTACCAAGAGATTTGTTCTTGTCCTTCTTGGTTCTTCCTCCTGGATGTCATCCTCCCCTTCTCAAGAATATCAATCAATTTATCCCAGCAGTTCACTGGATCTTTTCCTTGACGCTCAGTTGATATTTTTTCTCCAAAAATCTAAGGAATTATCCTCTTCTAGAAAATAAAAGAGAAAATATGATAGATTTCCTCTCTATTCTCCACAAGGAGAAGATCAGTGGATACCCTGATAAAAAACAGCCTATTATCCACCAGAACATCAATCGATCTCTTGCGGGGGAAGATCAGCTGATTTTCTGATGGCCAGTTGATTTTCTCTTCTCCAGAAACAAATCTGTTGACCTTTTCAAAGGATATCAGAGGATTTGATCACTAAAAGTAATGGAATTGACCAAAAATTGGAAAAAAACAAAATATCTCATGCAGGAAAAACACTAGATCGTTTACCAAGAGATAAACTTTTTTGAAAATCAATGGATCTTCTACTTAGAAAAATACAGGACTTTCTCATAGAAAATATGGTTACAAAAATCAAACGATCAAAGGTTCTCCTGCTAGAAAACCCCTAGATTGTTTACCAAGAGATAAACGCTTCAAGATCAACGGATCTTCTACTTCTAAAGTGTATCTTCTTCCAGAATATCAACGATCTCACAACACCAGGCTATTAGTGGATCTTCTCTTTGACGTTGAGTTGATTTTGTCTTTCTCAAATCAGATCAGTTTTGCAATAGATCGCCTGTGTAGTAATCCTCTCACAGAAAACTGCGGGATATTTTCGGGGAAAATGTGAAGACATTCTCAAAATTCAAATGAAATAAAGCCTTGATCTCCATTGAAAGGCCAATGGATCTTCTTCAAAAAGTCGCAGATAATCATAGAAGGTCAATGATCTTCTCATAATCCGCTCATTCAGAATCTTCTCATAGGCTATATTTCCTTACTAAAAATTGGTTGATTTTTAGCTATAATGAAAGATTAGTATATCTTCTCACAGCAAGTCAGTGGATTGTTTTCTAATTCCAATTGGAACGACTAGTAGAAGGTTTTCCTAGAGGAGGACAACAGAACTTCCCTTCGACTATAAATACAACTTCTCTTCAAATCAGCAGATCTTTTCTTACAAGTTAAACAGATTTTCTCTTTTAAAATTAGGTTATCTCTCTCTCTCTCTCTATTTCCCCTCATAGAGAATTATTAGATCTTCAATAAATATTCTCTTAGCAATCCATTGAATTTTACCTCAGTCGGCCAAAAATTGAAAATCCAAAGATTGCTCATGGAATACATTAACACATTTAAAAGGTCAATTGAAGATCGATCTGTCTTCTGAAAGAATGACCCTTCTTTTCATAGAAAACATTGAGACATTTAAAAGGCCGATTGAAGATCAATGTGTCTTCTAAAAAATGGCCCTTTTGCCAAAAAAAATCGTAGAAGCTCATTAATCTACTCATAAATGTTCATTTACTTCTCTCAAATATTCTTACAGAAGATCTTCTCACAAAATACAGAAGATCTTCTCCTAAAAGAAGGTCGATTGATATCCTCCTAGAACTTCGAAAATTCAAGATAAGACGATCTGTAGCTGCAGCAAATCAGTGGATTTATTTTTCTCAGAATAATATTGAAACGGCTACTGAAATTTCTTCCTAGAGAAGGTCAACAGGGCTTCCCTTTAGGGATTATTTGAGTGGTGCTCTTTATATCCTAAAGGGAAGCCCTGTTGACCTTATCTGGGAAGAAAATTAAGTAGCCGTTCCAATATTATTCTGAGAAAAATAAATCAACTGGATCTTCCTCCAGAAAATAAACACATCTCTTCTTTTTTAATTATAGCAGCTTTTCTTCTTTGGAGCCGGTATGTGTCTCTTGAGGAAGATCCATAGTTCATCTCTCATAAAGTAGGGACAATTCTTGTCATATATGGCCATATATATAATTTGTAGTACTGGAAGTCAAGCATATTCTGAATATGGAGGCTTTCGAGAGAAAATCTTTAGAAAATTTGGTGTTGCATGGTGTAGGGTATTCTTAAATAATTTAAGTTTTATTAAAGGACAGAAAAATACAATTTTATTAAAGAACTATTTTTTTTATTTTCTACACCTCTCTTTCTTGACATCTCTTTTCCCTCTGTCGGTAAAATAATCAAATTTTTATTCAAATAATTTATTTTCGCCTTGAATTTTTTTACAAATTTTCAAAACTCTCAAAAAATTCTCTACACCTTTTCTCAAAAAAAAAAAACTCTCTTTCATGCCCTCACATGCTGCACATTCACACATACACCACATAAAAATTTTCTAAATAATAATTTGAATATCTTCTAATTTTCTCTTAAAATTTCAAAAAAATAGAAAACGCAACAAAAAATTATTCTAATGCCTTAGGGAAAGGATTTTGAGGATGGTGGTTTGTTTTGCATTTGTTTGTGTGTTTGTGTTTTCTTTTCTAGAGCGAAAATCAATGCACATGAATGATCTTCTTGGTATTGGTTGGTTTGTATTACATAATGTCTCTAATGTTGCAATGTTGATTAGCTATGGTTTCAAATTTATAATCATGCTAAGTTTTCAAAGTTCTCTCTGTGCATGTGTCTGTTTCTATGCCTTCCTCTTCTCTGTTTTCTTTTCATTTTACACATTTTCCGGCTCTGGCAATTTCCGCTCACAACAATGACACACCAAAGCACTCAAACGCTGGCCCAGAGCCGACCACACCGTCATCGACATGGAGGAGGATACATTGCAGCTGGATGATGTCTGTACCGCCGCCGTTGCAGCTCCTGCCGCTGGCCGTTGGCCATCCAGTTGTTGTTGTTGCTGCAGTAGAGCAGCAAAAGCTCCATTCGAGGAGTTGGTGGTCGTCTCTGAGCTACCACGTTGTCATATTTTCGGTGGCTCGGCCGACGACGATTGGCTCTGGAGGCCCAGATCAATGCTGAGACTGGGCTGGTCAGCATCGCCGCCCAGTGTGGCGGGTGTCAAGGAGGCATTGGGCAGGACACCGGTGGTAATGAGTATTGTATCGCTGGCATCGACACTGCCGATGCGTATGGGTGGTGGCATACAGGTGGGCATATCGCTGCCGCCACCACTGCTGCTGTGAAGCGTATTGTTGCTATTGTTCTCCTCGCCGGTAACGGTGCCATCGTGGCGTGACGATTTCCTGCTGCTATCCCCTCCACCACCACTGCTGCTGCTGTAGCGTGGATTACTGCGATTGCAGGGCACATCCAGGCTATAGGCCCTGTGGCGACCGGCCGACATGAGGTCGTGTTGGTGGGAAATGTGTTTTTGGCGCAGACCCGGCGACTGCAAGCTATTCGAGATGGTGCAACACATGGTGCTTGGCTTGCCCGTCAGGGGGTCTATGTAGGTGGAACCCGGATCCGGCCCACCCGGCTGGTTGCCATTGTTGTTGCGCACCGAGCACGGGCTGCTGCGGGTACTGCTAAACCGCTTTGAGCTCTTGTCAAAGGAGAAGCTAAAGTAATCGGAGAACTGTTTGAGCCTAGCCTTCCAGGAATTTTTTGAGGCGGCAGGGGTTTCGCTGGTACTGCTTGTCAAGCCGTTTTGGGCATTGTTGGCGGCAGCTGCTGCGGCCGCTGCAGCAGCGGCACAACAATGTTGACGGGCTGGTGGCTGTTGCGGCTGGAGCTGGGTGGGCGATATGTTTCCATTGGAGAAGGCATTGATGCACATGATATTCTGTTGCTGTTGTTGTTGCTGCTGGTGTTGCATGACAGAGGCAGTGGTATTGGTAGCAGAATGTCCCCCGGCAGCCGAAGTCTGCAGCGAAGCGGTGCCGTTTGTGGAAGTGGCACCATCGGCATTTGGCACATTTGGGGAAGTATTTGTTGGCAGATATCCTCCGGTCGTTATCCCGCCACCACCAGCCGATGGCTGGGTCACAATTCCCGTGGCATTCATGTTCATGTCCTCGACGAGGCGGCAATTTACTGTGGAAGCTTCCAGGCTGCCACGATTGTGGCGATTATAGAAAACATTGCTGTCCGAAATGACCTGTTGCAGGCCATCGGACAGACGGCGATTGTTGGTGCTGTATTGGTCCAGGCTGACGGCACGATTGGAGCTAAAGTGGCTGCGATTGGAGTGATAGCCATGAATGTTGCCATAGGAGTTGCGAATGCGCTGGCCACTGCCGCTGCTGCACATTTCGCCAATCATGGAGGGACGTTTTTCGCGCGAAGACTTGCGCGAGGCGGAATGGGAGGATTTGGAGCGGTTGCTGGTGCCTTCGGTGTCCACCTTGAATTTGGAGGTTTTCTCAGCCACCTGGAGGATAGAGAGAGAGAGAGAGAGAGGGTTAGAGATTGGGCAAATAATTGAGAGAGCTGACTTACGTCAACCTCCGTGGCCGTTTCCGAGTCGCCACTCTCACTGCCCTCGGGCAAATCATGTAATTCGGCTGGCATGCCGCCCGGCTCATCGACCGATGTGCGTGAGGCGGATTTCTGGGAGGGTATACTCCGGCGGGACTTCACACTAATGCCCGATTGGGAGCGTGGCATTTGGGGTGAAATACTGCCGCCAGAGTTACCGGCCCCACTGCTAGTAGCACCGGTATTACTACCCCCACCAACGGTACCAGCGGCCGAACCGCCGGCCGTACTGGATGAGCCGGCATTGGCATCGGAACCGCCGCTGGTGTTCTCGCTGGCGGCAGCGGAAATGCTGTCGGCCAGGGATTTACGAGATTTGTTTTGAGCATCATTTAAGCGCCTGAAAGTAGGCAACAGTTTTAATAAATACTTATTTAAAGGCAATGTCTGCTGCAACCTACTTGTAGTAATCCAAAGCTACGCGCACAGGAACTATAATCATATCCACCACCTCGGGCACCAGTTCTCCCAGGGCCTCAAACAACGGCAACAGGACTAGACCAATAAAACGGACCTGGGACCCGGGCTTGCTAACTTTGTCTGGATCCATGAAGGGTGTGACCGGTAGACCTTCGGTCTTTTCAGCTGCACTTTGGGCAAAGAATTCCTGCAGTAGGCGATCCAGCCAGGGCTCGGCCACATCCATGGGTCGGGCCTCGTTGGAGATGTCGGCCACCTTGATGAGGATCATACAAAGCTGGGAAAAGGAGAAGGGAGTCAAATTTATTTCAGAATTTGGGAAAATTGCATGTCCACTTACCAAATTAATGTGGGCCCTGTTGGAGTAGTCAAAGATCGGTGTAACCTCCTTGAACTGGGTCAGGATCTCATTGTGTCGGGCCATGTCGGTGGCTAAAATGCAGCGTATAATCCCCTCACGTATTTGGCTGAAAAGGAAACAAGAAAATGGGTTAATTAAATGGTTACTTAACCACTTCACCTTGCCGCCCAGAAACACAATTTCAATTGTTTCTTCTGTTGCAGTTTTTGAGGACGCTTTTCCACCGAATTCCTCTACGCCACTAAAGGACCTTAAGTAGAAAATTTTACTCTTACAAATAATTACAATTAAAACACGTACTAGAAACTAATGATGCCGACATAAGTGCCAAAACAACCGACGGACCACTTGTTTAATTACAGGTAAGTGTTTACTGCCACTACTATTTAAATATTTATGGGAGAGGGGAGAGGTGTGGGGAAAGGAGGGCTACCTTGAAGGCTAAGCTGCCTGGGGGTGGGGGCAAATGTAACCGACCCAACTAATGAATGGCAGAGGATACATTCAAGTAATGCCACAAAGATTTACATCAAAGAAAGTATGTCCTTATACTGAAATGGGCGAAGAAATGGGAAGGGGGGGGGGTTTGAGGTACTAATACGGAGGAGCTTCGAGGGATTCAAAAGTGAGATTTATTGATTAAAATATGTGTGTTTATGATTTGCTTCAGTTCAGATAGAGAAAAGGAATGCTGATATAAGGAGTTGTCATTGGGTGCAACGGTGCGTATTAGTGCTGACACCACGTATACGCCACATAATTTGTAATCTTGAGATTACAGATCTATTATTGGTTTATGCAAAAAATATGTAATTTAAAGGTCTGATATGTTTCAGTAAAAAAAATACTGAAAATACATACAGGGTTAAAAGAAAAAAATAAAAACGGCAACTAAATTTAGACTGCTCTCATTTCTAAGCCATTTGTCCGACAGCTGTGAAAATTATTCCAGTGACAGTTCATTATATCGGTTACAAGGGTACAAAAGCATTTTGGTGAGATTTTTTCAGAAAAAAAGTTATACGCGTTGGAATTCAAGCGTGATAGGGTGATTTCTTTATATTTGGCTGGAGGACCACAAGTGACTATCGTTAGAGCTCTTCAGCATTTAAATGTGAATAAATGTTTTGTGTCTTGTACCATCGCTTGTTACCGTGATACTGGTAGCGTAGCCCGACTTCAAGGAAGTGGACGGAAGAAAACACCGACATCAGCAGAAATGCTTCGAAAAGTAAAGAAGCGACTTGATCGAAACCTGCGTCGCAGTGGCCGAAAAATGGCTCGTGAGCTAAAGATATCGCAATATTCCATTCGGCAAAGCCATTGAAAAATGAGCTCGGGGTAAAGCCATTGAAATTCCAAAAAGTACAGGAACTTACACCGCAACAGAAAGAAAATAGACCCAAAGAGCTAAAGAGTTGCTTTGCTTGACTGGCAGAGGTGAACTGCCGAATTTTGTTTTCTCCGTTCTCCGATGAAAAAACATTCGTAGTCCAGCAGTTTGTGAACAAAAAAAAAGGTCGTCTTTACTTGCCAAAGAGGTCGGCTGAAAATGTGCACCTTCGGTTGGCCACCAGAACTCAATCGCCGGCCATGGTGATGGTGTGGGCCGCCATAACAGCCGATGGTCACTCTCTGCTCGTATTAATCGACCATGGCATCAGAATAAATACCGAATATTATGGCGAAAATATTCTGGAGGGTGTATTAAAGCCCTTTGGCCGCAGACCTTGGACATTCCAACAGTACTCAGCACCATCGCACTCAGCATGCGCCACCCAAGAATGGTTACAAAATGAGCTTCCTCGCTTCATTTCCAGCGCACAATGGCCACCAAAATCTCTGGATACCAATCCGTTGGACTATAGTTTCTGGAGTATTTTGGAAAGCAAGGTTGTCGTCATAACTGCGGATGGTCGCTCTCCGCTGGTATTATTCGACCGTGCCATCAGAATAAATGCCGAATATTATCGCGAAAATATTATGGAGGGTGTTTTAAAAGCAGGCAAACATTTTGGCCCCAGACCTTGGACTGGACTCAGCACGCCACCGCCACCCAAGAATGGTTACAAAATAAGGTACCTCACTTCATTTACAGCGCACAATGGCCACCAAAATCCACCACCGGATACCAATCCGTTGGACCATTGTGTCTGGAGTATTTTGGAAAGCAAGGTTGGCACTAAAAAATACCAAAGTGTCGATCACCTCAAGCAAGAGCTTCGCCGGGAATGGGTCAAAATACCGCAGAGCAAAATTCGGGCAGCGTCTGACGGTTTCATTGGCCGTTTGAGGGCCATAATTCGTGCCAAAAGTGACCAATTCGAACAAATCGAAATTTATTCTAAAATTTGATGCTATTTCCGGCATTTTTTACTTTCATTCAAAAAAAAAAAAAAAAAAATTAGAAAAAAATGTAAAAATTATGGCGTTTGACTTTGTTGCAGTTTTTTTATCTCACCCTTATATCTCATTTAAGATCTTTCCAGATCTCTAAAAAGGACAGGCCAGTAGGAGTGCCACAGATTTCTCTTTAAAACCTTTAAGTTTATCTTCTTAGATTGCTAGTTGAATATCTTACAGACCTGGAAAGCATATCTACAAGTTAAAGGCTCAAGGACCCCAGAGTCTGGGGAAGGCAATATTTTAATATGTTAACCTCAAAGTCCCGGTTAAAACAAAAAAAATTAAAAAATACAAAGAAAAATATTTAAATTGCCACTCTTAAAGACCTAGCCACCTTGAAAACAGCTGGAGGACCTCCAGTCCTTGGGAAAATATTTAAAAATCCACGCTTAAGGATCTCACAGTGTTTGGAAGAAAATATATAAATATGCAGATCTAATAGTACCTAATATAAGTCTTTGAAAATTTCGTTTTAAAGTCCTGAAAAAAATCTTGGAGTTCTGATGGTCCTCGAGAAAAATCTGAAATCCATGTTTAAATGGATGAATGGAATATGCTTTGGAAAAAATTCTCTGAAATTCGAAAGAAAAACATTTCCGTTATTGGTGTAATAGTGCGTATGATTGACGACACCATGTATACGCCCTGGAGTAACCATTAAACATGTTTTAATAATTGGAGTTTAATTTAAAAAAGAGCCTATTTTATTATCCATTTCGAAGTTTCGTAACCTAATTGGCACTGTTTTTGAATATTAATAGTTCTTTAGGTAAAACTTTCCTTCCTTAGTTTGAAGAAATAAATTCAAATTTGGAAATTTACCCCAAAAATTGTCATAGGATAGAGGGTTACATATTTTTATTTCGTTGTCCGAAATATTAGGCGGATCCTTCCAATTTTTCTACCAACAAAAATACGATTTTTTCAATATTTCATTTTTGGGGTATTGGTGCGTATGATTACTGACACCATGTATACGCCATGGCGTACCCAATAAACAATTTATATAATTTTGAGTTTAATTTGTATAAAATTAGCTATTTTATCAACCATTTTAAAGTTTCGCAACATAATTGACTTGCTGATTAAATATAAAAACGATATTTTATAAAACTTCCCTTAGAAATAATTGAAAATTACCATAAATCTTTAGACAAAGAGAGATTTTTCGCTAAGGACATTCCTTCATTATTTATTGCCCGGACGCGCATATGGGAAAGTAAGAAAACTGCGTATGAAACTCCTAAGGGGTCAGAACACACACAAATGTATATATAAAAATCTATAAATAGAGGGAGAAATTTTTCATATAGCATATTTAAGGATCTCCCCCTAAACATGGCGTGAGTGTAAGATTTGCACTGTATTTTTTTTTTTCTAAAGAAGGGAGTGGAGGAGGGTGCCCATGTATATTTTATATTTAAACGTCATGCGTCATTTAACACACTTTCTCAAGCAGTGGCTCAAAAACGCAAGAAAGAGGACAAGCCATAATTACTGGTTAGAGCACAGTGGTGGCCCCGTTAGTTGGCAATGTGTTGGTGTGTTGCCATGTTTTCGCCTTTTTCTCCAAGACTGGCCAAGGCAAAATACACCAGCACCAACCATATCATTAAGCACCTAAATAGATATGCTGGTGAGGAAAACTAAAAGTTGCCAAACCAAATGTGAAAAGGACCATTGAGTTATAAAGCTACTCTATTCCGTTCCATATTTGCTGTTGTTGTTGTCGTTATGTTTTCCCACACCAATAGCAACATGAAATGAAAAATTACCACTTAACAATGTGTAAAATTGTGTAGAAAATTATTTTTTGGGTTTTGCAGGAACTTGGTCCTTTATTAAAGCTAGTCAGCCAGCCAGCCATTTTCATTATTCCATTTTTCTTTTTTTTTTTTAATTAAATTGCCAATTAAACCTTAAACTAAGGCAACTTTATTTTTTGTTGTGGTATTAGTGGCAGCAGCAGCAGCAGTTGCAACCCTGAAGCACATGACCATTTTTTTTTTTTTTTGGGTAACAGCTTTTATATATTTTGCAGACTAAACCAACATTTAACTGGCAAAAGCAAATAACAAAAAAAAAAAAAAAAAATGGAAAAAAGAAGTTGGAGAGCAGCAAAATCCAGCAAAAAAATGTAGCTACTTTTCTCTAGAGCATGTTCGGGCAATTATGAGGATAATTTGTACAGTATTTTTTCATTAAATCCTTTTCACTGGCATTTTTTGCAACTAAGTTGCACAAAATGTGCTAAAGTGGTATTAAAGGAAATATGTTTTAATTCAGGGTAGATGAGTAACAGTAGAAGATGAGGATGTGGCTAAGTTATTGAAAATGTACAGAGAAATAGTTATTCAAGACACTTGGGTCTTATGTCACATATAAAAAAAATGCGAGGGAGATATGTGAGAGCCAAGAAACTGATTTAAAATGGTTATGTGGCGTATGAGTTGTGACAGCACGTATACGCCCCAATAGAAGTTTGCTGCACAGAAAGATTTAATTGGTAAATTGGCGCCATTGAAAGAAGTCCACAAATTGGCGACAATATTAAAAGAGGTCAGATTACAGCTTTAGTTTTCTGTTGGCTTTTCTAAAGCGGATTGTAAAAAATTTTGCAAATTTGATTGTGAAAATGGATCATTCAAATTCCCAAGGAAGTTGTCTTAGAATCGCCTCCTTTTTGGGTATATTGGTCAA